AATGTTGCAGTCTTTTGTGGCTTCCTAGGGGAGTTGTGCTAGATAACAGAAACTAGCGCCACCTGATACAGTTATAAATATGCAGGAATCTGAATCAGAACAAAAGTAGGCCTGCTAAGTTCTCCATGAGCTGGTGTTTGCTGAGTTCACAGTGCATCACTGTCTCTCATTTAAAGCAAGACAGAAAGCAAGAAAGACAAAAAGAAACCAGTGATGTGCTGAACCCCTAATTTCAGCCAGGCCCAAAAACAGGGTTGGACAAAGGAGAACAATCAGACAGAAACACCATCCCTGCAATAAGTGCACCATTTACTAGACCTAAGCTTATTTAAAGGGGACTTCCACCAATTTTTAAAACTTTCGAACATTTCAAATTATGGATATGTAAACAAAGTCATTCAGAGTGGTTTGATGTGAAATGGTTCATGGCAGAGATGTTTACTGACTGATTTCTTTGTACAGTGGTGGTGAATGGAACCAGGGGCCACTACAGCAAATATATATGTTTTCACTATCCAAAACCACCAATGAACCCCTAAGCATGCCCTGTTTTGTACGCCTTAAATGGTTTTTAAAAAATTAATAATTTTAGGCCAAAGGTTATCCTCACACTTAAAATATTGTCTCGGTCATTAGTCAGTGTATTTATACCAATTTCATATAATAACTTTCTGTATAGGAGCTTTTAGAGGTGGACATCTGGTCACCTCCACTGTGAACAATTCTGACTCAGTAAGTTTCTCTAGAATGGAGCATTTCACACCAAACCACTCTGAATGACTGTGTTTACATCTTAACCATTAAATTACGCATAAAATTTGAAAAATCCCCCTTAAAGGTGTGCCCTGCATTTACAAACCAGCCTGGGCTAAAACACTCCTAATAACTTCTGCATGAAAAGGCGGAGCTAAACTCCTGTAAGCTTTACAGGAAGATCAATGCAAATTTGTTGGCTTTTGTGACATCACAAAAACAATGACTTTCAGATGGGCTGTTTGTATAATTAAAGGGTTAAGATGTAATCAGCCATTCAGAGTGACTTGATTGAAATGTATTTTTCTAAAGAAAAGAATAAGAACTGTTCACAACTGTGGTGATACAAACCAAACATCTAAAGAGTCCAACGCATCTAAAAGCTCCCTTACAGAAAGCTTCTTAACGAAATAATAAATATGCTGCCTGATGTCTGAGACTGTGAGTGTGTTTATATGCACTCAATTATCCAATGATAATCAGTATTTGCAGTTACCTGATTATTCAACGGTCATGTAAACAGCACACTGCGATATATTCATATATTCGATATATTCATATTTTCAGGTAAAGTGGCACAATGTTTAAAAAAAAGTTTAAAAAGTTTAAGTTTTACATCATATTTTTCTTCTATGAGTTTACTGGCTGGTTGCAAAGCAGAAATCCGATCACTGTCTGACTAATGTAGACATGGAGTTTCCCATTATCTGATTACTCAAGGGCATGTAAACACATTGATCGGATACTGAGAAAATCTGATTTTCTGCAGTTATCGGATTATTAAGTGCATGTAAACACACTCAAAAGTTTTGATGTACGGCTTTTGCTTAAAATGTATTTCTTAAAAACCATTCATGGTGGCTGGGTACATGCAGGGTGCTGTAAGGCAAAGTAGACCCCAAAGAAAATGTATGTTTTCAGATTTACCACTATTTTACCATCACCGACAAATCAAAGGCATGTGTAGGTTCACTGGTTGTTTTGGACAGTAAATAAAATGGCTATATCTGAACTGTAGACATTGTGACTCCATTTACATTCACCACCATTGTGAAGAAATCTGAGCTGGCAAGTTTCTCTCTAAGGAACCATTACATATCAGACCACTCTGACTTATTTTCTACATCTCAAACACTGAATCAAGCAGAATTTTTGAAAAATTGGTGAATCTGCCCTTTAAGTTCTGTTCTGTTGGGCACGTTGATAGCTCAGGGGATTTGCAGGTGTTTCATATCCTCATGTCAGGTCCAATCAGCTTTTATTTCTTCATGCTTCCATTAGGCTAGTGCAAAACTCCCTCAGCATTCCTACTTGTCCTCCCAACTCCACCTCGGTCATCTGAGCTTTGGCCCTCCTTTCACTGTAAAACAAACCAGTATTTCTTTCTCTCTCGAGCACTAATGGGCCTCACTGGCATGACAAAAACAGGCTCCAGTGCTGCCAAACAGAACAACATATAGCTCCATCAGTTCCCAACAAGGAGAGCTCTTCCAGCAACCTGCACTTCAATGTTGCTTGCACAACACAGACCCACAGTGAGATACCCGGAGTTGGCAGCTCTGAGTATTCAAAGAAAAATTAGCTTCTCTGCTGAGAAAGGTGAGAAAAGGTGCACTTGGCTTGAACCTACAGCTCTGGGAAAAGCTTTTAAAGGGGAATTCCACCACTTGCTCAAAATTTCTGCATTATATAATCATTGAGACGTAAGCCATTCAAATTGGTTTGATGAGAAATGATTCACTATAGAGAAAATGGCCAACTCTATACCAGGGGCCGCGACGTCTATAACACAAATACAGCCACTTTATTTACTATGCAAAACCACCTGAACCTACAGGTGTCTTCTTAGGTTTTTATATGTATAGTTGAAGATGGTAAAATAGTGAAAAATCTTAGACACCCCCCCCATGTGCCTCTCTGCCATTAATGGATTTAAAAAGGACATTTTAAACTAAAACTTATGTCAAAACCTTTTTAAAATAATGTGAAAGGCAGCAGGCAGTGTACTGATGACCAATTGAAATGTAATAGCTTTCTGCGAGGTAGCTTTAATAGGCATTAAACTCTTCAGACGTTTGGTTCCCATCACCGCCACTGTGAACGATTGTGAGTGGGTGAGATTTAAACCGCTCTGTGTGAATTTGTTTACATTTTTAACCACTTAATTCAGAAAAAAATGTTTTTAAAACATCCTCGTACAACTCATTTACAATAAGCATTCTTTGAAGAACCGTACACTGAAAAGCTCTTTAAGGAAACAAAAGCAGTTCTCCAAAGAATCCGTCTAAGCAACTTTTTTTTTTTAAAGACTGACAGACACTTCAACACAATAGTGTTTTGCATAGCACTTTATACAACAGAAATCTGCTGTAAAGAAACTTCAGATACTTCACTTTATACTGTAATTTACAGTCAGCAGAGTTAACATGTACTGAACACCTCCCACAGTGTCTTGCTCATCAATGACATGGTGCGACGAGAGGTCAATAATAAAGATGAAGGAGAGTGATAAGATTACAGGACAATGAACATTCACAAGGATCATTTGCTCCATAAACATGCTGGATATAGGCCTAAAACTTTCGTAATCCAAACATAGCCAGCCTATCTAACCTGTCAACGGGACAGTGAGTAAAATCATCCAGAGGGTTTGGCTGCAGTGTAATCAGAACAGGAGTTTGGGTGGCACAAACTATCAAATTCTTATGCACTGAGTCACTGGTTTCACTCTTGACAAGAAACCACTACAGAGAAGCAGTAGAGCGTTCCTAAAGAGGAATTCCACTGATTTCTGCATAATTAAATGGATAAGATGTGAATAAAATCATTCAGCGTGGTTTGATGTGAAACGCTCCATGGTGCTGATGGGAACCAGACGTCAGAAGAGTTGAACGCCTATTAAAGCTACCTCAGAAAAACTGGTTACAAATACTCTGCCTGCTGCCTTTATGACGAACAGGTACATGGAGGGTGTTGTGAGGCAAAATAGTCCCTAAGGAAAACTTCTTTTTAAAGATTTACCACAACATTATATATAAAATGTGTGGGTTCGCTGGTGACCTCTAGTTCCTATCACCATCACTGTAAAGAAATGAGTTGGTAAGTTTCTCTACAATAAACCACGTCACATCCAGCCTCTCCGAATGACTCCGTTCACATCTCAATCACTGCATTACAGAGAAATTTGATAAATCGGTGGTATTGCCCTTTAAATTTTGCACGCTGCCAGCGACTGTACTTTTGATTTATTGTTGCAATTCAGTCCGTTTCCCTCAGCCATAAAACCGATTTACTTTTCTTACATATAGGAGGAAAGGGCAGGAACAGTCTGGAATGCCCTTTGTTTGAAAAACTGTTTGAAAATTACGTAGAATTTCCCTTCAAAACCTCACAAACGTTTAAAGAAACTGTAACGGTTTTTAACGGTCAACTTCTTAAGCAGCGTCCCAAATCGCATACTACTATACTAAACAGTCTGTCAAAACAGTACACTCTGCCTTCATTAGTACAGAACGTGTAGTATGTGTAGTTTAGTATAAGACGTGGTTTTGGACGCAGCCCTGCAGCGTCAATACTCATCCAAAAATACGGCAGAATGTTTGTAAAATTAAACATTAAACAACGAAGAGGAGCCATGAGATACTTTTTGAGGTTTACTTCTGTATCTCTGTTAGCCACGTCAGATTTTTCCCCTAAGGCGTTAGAGTAGCAGGTGAGAGCCACAGGTGGCAGGTTAGCTCGTAAGTTAGCTAGCACCTGAGACTGCCGCTGCACAGATTCTCCAGAGTGTTGTTAGAGATGAAGAGGGGAAAAATACTTCCAAACTGCCAACGTTATCCCGCCTAGACATTAATCCTTTCTCTAGACATTAATCCCAACTTCCAGCCAACAGCACTAGAACTGCTGCGCCCGTCAGACGAGGCTAAAGTTGGCTTCCCATGTGAATCTTCCGTTCCACCTTAAACGGTGCAGCAGTCGTTTTACCGCGCGTCAGGCGTCAGAATGTATCTGCTGCACTTTTAAGGTGGAACGGAAAATTCGAATAAGAAGCTGTCAGAATAAGTCGTTAACTCCGCCGTAAGCAAAACACGAGGCAGACACAGCCAGAAAACGTCGATTTCCTTCACCAGGGAGCAAATTTTCCGAAGCTAGATCAACAGCCATGAAGTTTAATAGACTAGGCAGGCGGCTAACGAGCTAGCTAAGCTAAAATACATGAAGCAGAGCCCACCAAAGGCTTAACCTACCTAGAGTCCAAAGTTTCAAAGTTCTCAAGCTGCGTAGACTTCCTTCCTCTTCCTGCAGTTTTCCTTCATATGCACTCCAACGTGAACTCACCAGCGGGACCCGAGCGGGCGACAAAAACAGCCACTGTGTGCCAAATACAACCTGTTACCTTTTCCACAGATGCTCGTGGCCCCGCCCAGCGAAGCCTGCGGGAAAGATATCATTGGTTAAGCGCGGCATGGTGGGTGGGGCCACAGACAGCGCGTCTGTGTCTTTTCGATGAATGATAAAACTGTGGCCTCCACTGGCTGAAACTGTCACTCACCAGCCACTTTATTGGAGCTATTTTGAAGGTCCACTCAGTGGCCACTTTGTTTTAGAAACACCTGCCTTATAGGCCCACAATATGTTCACAACTACGGACTGTATCTTTGATCACCCACCCATTCATCATCGGCCAGTTCCTAACAACAGGAGCCCTGTTTAAATATTATTTGGGGTAGTGGGCTATTCTGGGCATAGCAGTGACACTAACATGGTAGCTTGAAAACTCTATGTCCTCTATGGTGCCAGAAACATCTCATCTATTCCAGTTTCTGCAATGAACAACAGTCCTTGCAGACAGGCCCATATTATATATACATATATTACTTATTATGTAAGTCCTACAATGGTACCATATTGATGTAGCACCTTGGATTCAATAGACAACCTGCTAATGAGATGAATCATGTGTACTGGAGCAGGGAAAATGCTACAGAGTGCAGTGCTGTGGCCCCGTAGTCCTAATGTTGATTGTTTACATGTTTCTCCAGTTAAAACTGAGCGTGAAGGAGCTCTGTAACCTACTAAGAATGAGCTTCATTTACCAACCGTTCTTAAGAAGAAAATCCTTCTCCAAACCCACTTGTGCAGTTTTCACAAAGATTCTGACATTCACCAAAGTGTTCTTATTTGGGATTTGTTCTTAGGTAAGAACAGAATCTACACACACTCAGAATCAGAATCAGAATCAAGCTTTATTGACCAGGTATGCTTACACATACAAGGAATTTGGTTTTGGTTACAGGAGCTCACAGTGCACAGTATCAGACCAACATTTACAGGTAGTAAACACAATAAAATAGAATAAATTAAATGAAAATAAAATAAAATTAAACATGCATTCCTACCCTCACTCACTCATACACACACACACACACACACACACACACACATAGTCATACCTATAAACTCAAGAGCAATTCTGTGGTTTAAGAACACGTCATGAATCTGACGTAGACTTTTTCTTAGGACCTTTCTCAAGAACGCATTTAAGAAAAAACGTAGAAACTTGGTAAATGAGGTCCACTGTTTGTTTCATGTTATTGTTACTGTTTCCAGCCACTAGATGGAAGCATTGTCAGTCACTTAGTAATGCATACTTTACATCAGGGGTGCCCAATCCTGGTCCTGAAGATATCCCACCTTGGAGAGTTCAGATCCAGCACACCCTGCTCCAATATTCAGATTCCTATGAAGGCCTTTGAGCTAAACCCTGCAGGGTGGTAGATTTCCAGGTTCCAAGTTTTGTTGTTTTTTAAGGTGGAAAGACGTTAGACTGTGATCTCTTATGAAAATATTTTGAAAAACTGATATTTTTTCCGTAAATGTTAATGCACATTTTATTAAAAAATTAAAAAAATAACTATTCAGAATCTTTATTTACCAAGTATCAGATGTACAAGGAATTTCTTTTGGTGAATGAAATAAATGTAGAAAAATATATACAATATGTATACGTAAAATAAACAGTACACAAACAATCTGCAAGTAATATAAAGAATGTGCAATGGTACTGAAGTACATACAAAGATATGTAAGTGTATTGCAAATATATTGTACATATTGCAGGAAGTTAAAGTGCATGTGTATACTGACTACAGTATGCTGACTACACAAGCTTCTTATTCTTAAGGATTATGGCATGGGATATACAGTGGTAATGTACATAACAATGTGTATAATAAAGTGCATGTGCAGCTGTTTAAAGCAGAGGGATGTGGGAAGGGGTCTTGCTTCGGAGATGATGGCCTGGGGAAAGAAGCTGTGGAGGTGGCGGTTGGTCTGAGTCTTTGGGGCTCTCACTCTCGGTCTCCACTGAAATGGAAACCTCTGGAAGAGAGAGTGGCAGGTGTGAGGGGTCAGCCATGGTTTTCTCTGCTCTCTTCCTCATCCTAGATGAATAAAGACCTTCAAGAGCGGAGAACCAACAGCCAATGACTTCCTCTGCACATTGCACTGTTCATTGTAGCTTATGCTTGGTGCGCAAAAATGCAGAGCTGAACCAGAACCAGTAGCGACCTATGCAAAAGTTTGTACACCCTGCCTATTGTAAAGTCTCAGAACTTAGTGAACTCGTCAGGCCTTAACTGACTCATTAGGACTGGTTAGACAGGTCATAAACTGTCATTACAAATTGTCAACTGTCAGTGGTAGTTTAAGTTAATTGATGCCTACAAAGCTGAGGTCGCTAAAACGATATCAACACACTTCCTGTTCACAATTTCCACTGTCCAAAATGTCATTAAGAAATGGCAGTTAAGGATCTTTGTAGTTGAGCCAAAATCTGGAAGACCAAGAAAACGGCTTATATGCTGGTGAGACAAAGCAAAACCCACATATGACAGCAAAAGGGCCTGCAGGAAGGTTTATCTAACACAAGAGTGGTGGTGCACTGTTCTACTCTACAGTATTGTTTACTCAAACATGATCTGCTAGGAGGAGTCTTCAGAAGGAAACCTTACCTGCAACCTTGTCACAAAATTAGAAACAAGTGTAGTATTGATTAAATAAAAATGAAACTTTCCAGCCACAATCACCAAATGTATGTTTGGGAGAAAAAAAGCAGCAGCATTTGATGAAAAGAACACCTTGCCAACTGCTATGTGTGGGGATTGATCTATTATCTGTTACCTTTGTGGCAGCCAGTGGCACAGGAAACACTCTACAGGTAGATTAAAAAATAACTTCCACCAAATATCAGCAAATTCTGGAAGCAAATGTGATACTGTCAGTCAAAAAAAATGAAGCTGAAAAGAGGCTGGCTTCTACCATACAAGACAATGACCCAAAGCAGAAATCAATGGTCAGGGGTTCCCAAACTTTTGCATACAACCGTATCCGTGTTTGGGGTAAATACATGGGAACGGGCTGTTTGGCAAAGAAAAAAGTTTGGCAACCGACTAAAGCAGAAGCCTTCATTACCCTCTAGATCAAGTGGCTAGCAGTCAGGATTTGTTGAGTGCAGTAGGGATTCCCAGTGGTCATGTGATGTATTTGCATAATGCATGCTGGGCATTGTAGCTAAAATATGACCATGAACTCTGTCTAACCAAAGAGGCTGAGGGACACAAAGCTGCGCTACAGAATATTACATAAATGACACAAAAACACATTAAACTCTAGTTTTAGGCCAAAATGCCCCTTAAAAAAGAATAGCTAACCTTATACATGAATTAGGCTACTGGTTGCTTCAATCATTGTTTTCAGGGAAAAAAATGGATGTAGCTAGAAATTTTAGAATGAGTCCCATACATTCACCAAGCACTTTTTTAGGAACACTATACTAATACTGGGTAGGGCCACTCTTTGCTCTCCAAACTGCCTCAATTCTTAATGGCATGGATTCTGCAAGATATTTGAAACATTCCTTTGAGATTCTGGTTAATGTTGACATGATTACATTACGCAATTCCTGCAGATTTTTCAGCTGCACTTTCATTCAGTGAATTTCCCTTTCTACCACAATCCAAAGGTGCCCTGTTGCATTCGGATCTGCTGACTGGGAAGGCCACTGAAGAACTCTGAACACATTGAAGAACACTGAACTCATTGCCATGTTCATGAAACCAGTCTGAGGTGACTTTCGTCTTTGTGACATGGTGCATTATCATGCTGGAAGTAGCCATTAGAAGATGCTAAATTGTAACTTTGAAGGGAGGCACATGATCAGCAGCAATACTCAAATAGGCTATGGCATTCAAGCGATGACCGATTGGTATTAATGAGCCCATAGTGTGCTAAGAAAACATTCCTCACACCATTACACCACCTCCACCAGCCTGAACTGTTGACACAAGGCAGGTGAGGTCCATGGATTCATGCTGGTTGGTGCCAAATTCTAACCCTACCATCTGTGTGCCTCAGCAGAAGTCAGGATTCATCAGACCAAGCTACATTTTTCCAGTCTTCAGCTGTCCAGTTTTGGTGAGCTTGTGCCCACTGTAGCCTCAGTGTTCTGTTCATGGCTGACAGAAGTGGAACTCGACATGATCTTCTGCTGTTGTAGCCCATCCACCTTAGGTTTTAACGTGTTGTGCATTCTGAGATTTGAGATTTTCTGCTCACCACAATTGTACAGGGTGGTTATATGAGTTACCTTAGCTCTTCTGTCAGCTTGAACCAGTCTGGACAATATCTTTGTCAACTCCTATCATCAACAAGGTGTTTCCATCTGCAGAACTGGCGCTCACTAGACTGTTTTGCGTGAAAATCCCAATAGAGTTTAGAAAGTATAGATATACTCAAACCAGCCAGTCTGGCACCAACAATCATGCCACTGTGAAAATCACAGAGATAATGTTTTTTTCCCCATTCTGGTTGATGTGAACATTACCCAAAATGGCTGGCTTGTATCTGCAGGATTTTATGCACTATACTGCTGCCACATGATTGGCTGATTAGTTAATTGAATAAATGAGTAGGTGTACAGGTGTTCCTAACAAAGTGCTAATAAAGTGTATATGATTGTATTTGGCCAGGGTTGTTCAAACTTTTTGCTTATGATTATATATATTTCCACATAAATGTAATCTATAATATTATCAGATCTTCATTTAACAAAAAAACAAAACCCAATTATACAAATAACACAAACATTTATACAGTTTCTCATTCATTTATTGACCTAATTACTTAAACATTTAATGTCTTTGTTGGCAAAAGTATGTGAACCACTGCTTTCAGGAACTGTCATGACTCCCTTGAGCAGCAATCACATCCACTGAAAGATTCCTATAATTGTTGATCAGCCCTGCACATTGATTTGGAGGAATCTTGGCCCATTCCTCTTTACACAACTCGGTCAAACTGGTGGACTTTCTTGCATGAACGCTACATCTTTTTGCCTCAACATTTCTATTGGATTAAGGTCTGCACATTCCAAAATGCAACATTTCTTCTGCTTTAATTATTCTTTTCAGACTAATTGGTGTTTTAGGGGCTGTTGCCTTTCTGCAGGACCCACCTTCTGCTGAGGTTCAGTTCACAAATGGATGCCCTAACATTCTTCTGAAGAATTTCTTGATACAATCCAGAATTCACAGCTCAATCAAATAATAGCAAGGTGTCCTGGTCCAGTAGCTGCAAAGCAGCCCCAAACCATGATACTACCACCACCATGTTTCAAAGTTGGAATCAGGTTCTGGAATTCAGTGTTCGCTTTTGCCAACCATGACATTTCTTATTTAAGCCATAAAGATCCTTTTTTTCGCTTTGCCTGTCCACATAACATTATTTCATCATCTCAGATGTCTTCTGACTCATCCAGGTGGTCTTTAGGCAACTTTAAACAGGAGGAATTTTCCTCCTGGAAAGTCGTGGCTTTCTCCATGCTATGATTTCAATAAATACTATTCTTGTTCAGTGTTTGCCTGATTGTGGACTCATTAGCCAGTGTAAGAGAGGCCTGCAAATCCTCAGACATTATCCTGGGGTTCTTTGTGATCTCCCAGAATAATCTCCACCTTATTCTTTGAGTCATTTTTGTTGGATGACCATTCCAGGGAAGGGTAACAATAGAATTAAATTTCCTCCATTTGTCCATTTGTATCTGCCTGACAGTAGATCACTGATGTCCACTCTCTTCAGAAAATTTTTGAAACCTCATCCAGCTTAATTAGCACTGGCAAATAATTTTCTGAGATTCTCTGAGATTTCATTTGACTGAGACATGCACTAACAAATGTGTGCGATAAAGACCAGACCTTGATGGTGAAGACTCAGGTTGATATTTTTTAAATAGGGTTAGGTCAGCCACACTCACACCTGATTGTTATCCAACTGATTAAACCTCCTGACCGAAATTATCACCTATACTAAACTGATAATTCTAGAGGTTCACCAACTTTTGCCAACAAAGACTTTTAATGCTAGATCACTTTGTTCAATAAATGGATGAAAAACTATAAAAGTATCTGTGTTATTTGTTTTATTCTCTTTATCCTTTGTTATATTCACTGACCAGACACTTCATTAAGTACACCTCTTTATATCTACACATATTGTCTATTTTACTAGCTCCACTTACCATGTAGGAGCACTTTACTCTACAATTACAGACTATTGTCCATCTGTTTCTCTGCATACGTTGTTCACCCTGTTCTTCAATGGTCAGGACCCCCACAAGACCCCCACAGGGCAGGTGTTATTTGGGTAGTGGATAATTCTCAGCACTGCAGTGACACTGACGTGGTGGTGACGTGTTGTTGTGTGTTGCGCTGGTACGAGTGGTGGAGTTTTTAAACACCTCAGTGTCACTGCTGGACTGAGAATGAAAAAAATCCAGCCAACAGCGTCCTGTAAGCACTGATGAAGGACTGGAGGATGACCATCACAAACTGTGCAGCAACAGATGAGCTGCTGTCTCTGACTTTACATCTACAAGGTGGACCAACAAGGTAGGAGTGTCTAATAGAGTGGACAGGAGATGGATAACAGTGTTTAAACATTCTAGAAGCACTGCTGTGTCTGATCCACTCATACCAGCGCAACACACACTACTCCACCACATCAGTGTCACTGCAGTGCTGAGAATGATCGACCACCCAAATAATACCTGCTCTGTGGTGGTCCGGTGGGGGTCCTGATCATTGAAGAACAGATTGTGTGTGTGTGTGTGTATATATATATATATATATATATATATATATATATATATATATATATATATATACAAATATACATATATACATATTTATATATAGTTCTGATGGCTAAACAGGTTTGTCACATAGACATTTGATATCCTGACTGAAAGGTGGTTCACGTTTTTACCCTCCGGCTACTCTGCAGACCCCAAACGACTCGTGAAAGTCCCTTTCCCCTCTCGTGCGCGCGCGCACACGCACGCGCTCTCCCCGCATCCTCCCCAGAGCCCCCGCAGAAAGCGCAGGCGCGGGTACGCGCGCGTCCTCCTCAGCACTCCGTGTGGACTGTCGCTCTGAGTGGACACACCGGGAATGGGCTCTTCGGAGAGAGTGAAGAAAAACTTCCAGTTTTTCCGCGTCTATGCCCTTCAGAGGCTGCTGTTTATTTTGCGGGAATAAGTCTGAGGGAGAGAACAGATCAGAGTTAGGAAATGGGAAAAAAATAAAGAGTTGCTAGGAAAAGTCAACGAATGGGATAAAAAATTGAAAATTTGGACTTTTGTTCGTTAAAAAGGGATTTAAAATATCTGGAATCATTCCCCAAAAGTTTGGAACGAGATTTTAAAATTTTCTTTTACTCACTCGACACGGAAATCCAGTCAAAACACTCTGGAGCCAATTGGGCAGAACTCAATTTAGCTGTTAGCATCACTAGAAAAACGGTTAGCTAGCAAACAAGTCGGTTAGCGTGGAAAACAAGAAGGTTAGTAAGCAAAGAGCTGAAAAGTTGCTGAAAGTTGTTGGTTTGTGTATGGAGAGTTGTTCAGACGGTCGGAGCGGTCATGGCAAAGTGGTTTAAAGATTTCCCCACCAGTCTAAAGACGGGTTCCGACCGAATCCGGTCGGCTTCCGAATCTGGACCCCAAACTCGACCCAAACCTGGGCTGACCGTGAGCACCGGTGCTAAAGGGAGCCTGAGGAAAAATTCTGAAAATGGAGGTGGTGGAGGTGGAGGAGGAGGTGTTGGATCGCTGCTGTCCGGCAGAACCCGAAAAAACTCGGCCATCGAGCTGGGCCGGAACCACTGGAGCTCGGGATCCGGCTCGGTAAAGGACGGAAAAATCTGGGAGATCCTGATTCCGGGCAAGAACAAAAAGAACCCCAAAATGGAGGGCTTCGAAGACCACCGCACTCTCAGGTAAGGGTGGGTGATGGGAGGTCAAATTATACACTGTAAAAAATCCTAAATGAAAAAATAAATAAAATTAGTTACTGGGCTACTTTAACACTGTGAGGCAACTGAACTTCTAGTAGTAAGTTAACTGAACACTTATGAGAAAGAAGGTTCTTCAATAAAGGAAATGGTTCTGTTTAGAACCATGAGTTCTATATAGATTTACATGATTTACATCGTTCTTCTAATGGTGACATAGTTCTTCAGGTTGATGCAGAACGTATATGATTTTGAAAATGGTTCTATATAGCACCAAAAAGGGTTCTTCTGCTGTTACGATGTAAAACTTGTAACAATAGAAGAACACTTTTTGGTGCTTTATAGAACCATTTTCAAAAAAGGTTCAACACGTTCTCCATCAATAATCAATCAAGAACCATTTCACTTTGCAAAGAACCATTTAAGGATGAAATGGCTCCATATAGAACACATGGTTCTAGATAGAACCATTGCCTTAACTAAAGAACTCTTGAAGAACCATCCTTTTTAAGAGTGTACAAGAATGCATCTTACACCCTTCAACTGAAGTTAACTAACTTTTTGAGTTAAAACCCCAAGTGTTTTATTACAGTGTATCACAGTATTACCTTTATAATGACAGCATATAAAGATATACATAGAAATAGTAATAATGCTATAATAACACTTAAAAATCAACATAACATTGGAGCAAATGTAACCTAACTGTACTATGTAAGCTGTTCAACTCATTTTTACTGGGGGTGGCGTTTGTGGTTTACTGTTTTTCACAGTATCTGTGATACATATTAGGAATCAATATCATGGAGCATCAACACCAGTACACATTTTAATATCAGTGCTTCTGTTCTTAGGACCACCAGCATCGCTGATGCCTACATGAGCCGCATGATCAAGGTGGACAAACAAGATAAGTGTGCAAAGTACGGCAGCGGTCCTGCAGAGGGTTCTGGGACGGACAACGAGAAGGGAAAGTCACCTGTTAAAACTGAGACGGTGAGTCCAAAGTGGTCCACATATCTAAGCTAGTAAACAACAGTGATTCTACTGTGATGTTTCATTAGGTGAAGTCTGGTGTCTGGTGTCTCCCTGAGTTCTTAAGACGTCTCATCCAGCAACTACAATTGAGGAGGGTGAATATAACATCACAATACAGATTGTGATGTTAAAAAAACATCACATCTTGAAAAACCAAGACATTTTCACAACGCAGAGTATGCACTTTTTAGCTTTTTCGAAGTTGGGAACAGACAAAAAAGCGCCAGTAATGGCACATTTAAAAATACAGAGCTGCACTAAAACAGTAGTTAAACAGTCCTAAATAAAATGCTTGTCCAAAATTTTTTTTTAAATATAATTTAAACACGACTGCTCCTCCTTTGCATTGTGTGGACATTTCATGCTGACTAACAGCAATGCTCCATAAACTTTGTGGAATAAAACCTTTTTAAAACATCTTTATGTTAATTTTGTTATGTTATTAACATTATGTTTAGAGCATTTTTGACCTTATGTTACTATTTTGTTATTTTTTTGGACAGCAGCGTCATGCTTTCTTTGTAATGAAGCATGCAAAGTGGGTCAGTGTTTTTAAACACTGATTATATGCACAGAAAAGTGACATAATGTCATGTAATTTTTCGTGATAGCAATAAATATTGTCATATCGTCCACCGCTAACCACAATGAAGTATTCTGTAACTTTTAATGTAACATAATATGTAAACAGAGGTTGGACCAGGAGTTAGTTAACCCTTTAAAATCCCAGGCTTATTACATACTAAGGCTTATTATTTAATAACTACAGGGACTTCAGTGCCAACAGGCTGAGCTATACGTATAGAATTGTGTAATTTTAAGGGGTTCAAAGCGTTGTTAGTGTATATATATAAAAAACGTTTCCAAAAACTTCCCAAGGAGCCTCAGCTTTCCGTGGAATTGCAGTGCATCCAGCATCTATCAGCATAGGAAATGAAGTTTGTTAGGCTCTATTCTTCTCTTTTTGGATCATTTTGGTCTAAAATAAAGTGCTTGAGCTCTAAAGTTGGAAGTGTGAGCAACAGTAAAGCAGTCCAGGAGTTAAACCAACACAATAGAAGGAAAATAACCAAAAAGGAACATTAGGAACTCAATGTAAGTAGAACTGAGTAAAGATTCCTTTCACAGATATTCTTAAAAAAATATAGCATTTGACACTCACAGAAACACAAATCCTGTTACTTAACAATAAATGGAACTAATTGCTGTGCATTTTTTAATGTAAATTATGTATTTATGACAGTGAGGAACTAACACAGGGCCGGTGGGATTTATGCGGGTAGCAAAAAAGTTAGCTTTTTCTGTAGAAGAGCAAAGTGAAGCTGTTTATTTTTGTAGAGACACTGTAGTGTAGGTTATACAGTGGTTTATGTATGTGGGGTTTCTGCTCTACATACGATTGAATGCATGACATGACATACTCCAGTTTTTTTAGCTGCGCTGTTGTCTGTGGGAACCAAAAGAAAACGTTTTTGTTATGAAAGCCGAGATCAGTATCTCTCTTCCAGCTTTCTTTGTTTTTGCCGTATCCCCTCTTCCCCCACCCTCTCTTTCTCTCTCTCTCTCTCTCTCTCTCTCTCTCTCTCTCTCTTCTCCATTGCCATCCCCTATTCACTGTGTGGTTGCATTATGATCAGTCAGTAGGAGAACAAACACAATGAGCATGAACCTTTCCCTGCCACTCTTCCTGTCTCTATTGCTCTGTCGTCCTGCCTGTACGCACACACAAACACACACACACAAACACACACACACATGTGTACACAAGGGTCACACAGGTTTTGTATTCAGTGTCAGGACGTGGGGTCATATACACGTCCAGTGTGTATTATTTATATGTCAGCATCTAAATATGCCATTCTTCTGCCAATTTTAGTGCCCAATTTCTATTTATTTGAGTTTAACGTTGGAAAAAATAAAGAATACAATATAAAACACGACCACATTTTATGTTTATATTTTTATGGTTATATTCACATTTTATAATAATTGTAAATAATCAGTAACTGTGCATCAGATGTGCAGAAGTGAGTTCTCTGTAGAGGATGTGTTAACTTATTTCCAGAAAATCAACAAAACATTCATATTTTCGCATACAACTGTATGTAAGCACCTATATGTCACAATAAAATATCCAATATGTTTTGTATATATGTGAGCACTTATATGTCCCATAAGTAAGTACTTGTATGTTATAATAATATTTATATACATGTACTTTTATATGTGTACTTATATGTACTGCATCTCTCAATCCGAGTAATACAAATTACAAATTTAGCCTTGTCACTCTGTAAATCCTCAAATTCACAACTGAGTTGTCCAGTTTCAGTGGTCTAGTGCAAATTTTTCCCAGCTTCTTGACAGCTACACATCCTTTTAGGACATGCAAATAAACAGTCTTATATCTAAACTCCTCAGAAACACTTTAGCCATTTTAGATGCACATGAGAAGGGAAATTGTGAGGCAGCTAAGGTGAGTTTGGGTAGTTGCTGGTGTGAATATTAGAGTGTCTTTGAAAGAGAACAATGTCAGTGACTCCTCTGGGAACAGCTTTTGTTGGGAGGACACAGATGTGACTCATTGGTTTTAACATTTGAAGGATGGATGAGTTAGAGGTAGGACTGTGCAATATGGCAATATATACCATTATTGTGATATATTATGTCACAATACAATAGAATATACTTTTCTGAACATATCACAGATATCATTGGTACTTGTGGAAGACTGATCAGCTGCATGATTCATTGTAAAGAGAGAGGATTTAGTGCAATGAATCAAGTAAATTCGGTTACTCTGTGCATTTAAATGTAGCTGGGCTATTATTTGATCCGTCCCGTTTAAGTGTATTTAGTGCAACACAGTATGAGACATAATAAATAAAAAGTCATTGTATTCACAGTTTTTGATTATTGTTATATTGTTATTTTTTAAATTGCAGTGCTGCTGGTTGTTTTTTCTCTGTTCCAAATGATCAGATGTGCAAAAAGTGAACATTGTGATATGTTGTGTATCATGAAAATTTCTTGAAGTATTGTAATATATTTTTGCCATATTGCCCACCTGTAGTTAGAGGTGCACAAAAGTAGAGTAGACGAATTAAATAAATGCTGATAGATTTGATATTGTGTTTAGTGTTGGACGCTTCTGTGTAATTTTCTGTTCAATATGTTTTACTTTTTTCTGACACTGAAAAATGAATAACTTGTACTTAATGGTCATTTTGACTGCAAGTTAAATAAATGAGCATGTTAACATATTTTCACATATAAAATAAACAAAATATCATTTGACTGGGGTGCCGAAACGTTTGTATGTAAACACACCTCCTCTACAGAGAACACGCCTCTGCACATTTTTTATGCCCAATTTTTGCTGAATCGAACATCCTGGGGAAAAAATAGAAACTAAAAAGGGACCTGTGCAAAAGTTATGGCACATTTTAATTTGTATTTTTTCATTATGTTAAAAGCAGCAAATAAATAGAAATTGTGCACTAAAATGAGCACAAAATGTGATATTTTATGTTTGTTCCCTGTACAGGATGTGTTAGGATATTTTTCCTTTAGAAAGCAACCACCCATGTAATCTGTTGAGTTCAAACATAATAATAATAAAACTTTGATGGAGCTTTTTTATGAGGAAACATTTTTGATCCTGGCTCAGAGTATGTCCTGAGAACGTACATAAAACAAACTCACATACACAGTGCAGAGCTCATCACTGCTCTTTCAAGGGGTGCGCACACACACACACACAGGTGCACACACACACCCATGCACACACACAAATATTGAAAGAATAGAATACAATACAATGTGAGTATCTTTTCTTCCCGTCCCCAGTGAAGGGCGACGTTTGAAGAATTATGTCACATGATACGGACACTGCAGCCGCTCCCAGAGGTGGACTGGCCCTCCGGCTGCACTTTGAACAAAATACCACAGAAATCAGACTCTCATGAAGTCACAACAAAAAGTCCGGGGGCGTTGGTGTTGGGGGAAGAGGGAGGGGAGGAGCTGCTGAACTGGACAGGAGATGAGACACAATATCCTCCTGTGGTTTAGTGGTGATTCAAGCATGAAAAACCTTTAATACACTCCAGCATTTTTATATTCAAAGCCAATGGGAAGGTGCTTCAGCACCTGCTCATTGTCTTGAGTGAACAGGTCCTCTATTCTTATTCATGGTAACCGACCATATGCTACAGATACAGCAGGTAGAGAATAGCCTGGATCAGTATCCACATATTGGGTTTGCACTGGTACGTACGGTATACTACTGAAAAAATGTGATGCATTGTATTTGCTTGATTCATATGTATACATCAGTTCCACTTGAGTAAAATATATTACATCAACACAATTTTGTATTTCAGTTTATCGTAGCACTGTTTCAGTTTATTTTAGTGTTTTATCACCTCTTCCTTTAACAACACTCTGTAAGCATTTGGGAACTGAGGAGAGCAACTGCTGTAGTTTTGGAAGTAAAATGTTTTCCCATTCTTGCTTAACATAGGATTTCAGTTGCTCATCAGTTCAGGGTCTCCTTTGTTGTATTTTTCATTTCATATCTTACCAAATATTTTCTGTGGGTGACAGGTCTGGACTGCAGGCAGGCCAGTTTAGCACCCGGACTATTTGAATACGGAGCAATGCTGTTGTAATACATGCAGAATGTGGTTTGACATTGTCTTGCTGAAATAATCAAGGCCTTCCCTGAAAAAGACGTCATCTGGATGGCAGCATATGTTGCCAAAACATGTATATATCGTTCAGCATTAATGTTGCTTTCACAGATGTGCACATTACTCATACCATGTGCACTAATGCACCCCTATACTATCATGAATACTGGCTTTTAAAATGTGCACTGATAACGAGCTGAGTGGTCTTTAGCCCGGAGGACACAGTGTCCATGATTTCCAAAAAGAATTTCAAATGCTGATTCGTCGGACCACAGGACACTTTTCCACTTCCCCTCGGTCCATTTTATATGAGCTCAGGCTCAGAGAAGGTGGCAGCATTTCTAGATCCTGTTTATATATATTTCTTCTTTGCGTTTTAAAGTTTTAACTAGCATTTGTGGATGCAGTGATGAACTGTGTTCATAGACAGTGGTTTTCAGAAGTGTTTCTGAGCCCATGCAGTGATTTCCACTACAGAATCGTGTCTGTTTTTAATGTAGCGCCACCTGAGGGCCCAAAGATCATGGCCAGCAAATACTGTTTTTTGGCCTTGTCCCTTGCATACAGAGATTTCTCCAGATTCTCGGAATCTTTTAATGATATAATGTACCGTAGATGATGAAAAGCAAAAGTTCTTTGCTATTTTATGTTGAGAAACATTATTCCTTAATTGTTGCACTATTTGACTGTGCGGTCTTTCACAGAGTGGTGAACCCCTCCTTATCTTTACCCCGAAAGACTCAGCCTCTCTGGGATGCTCTTTTTGTACCCAATCATGTTACTGACCTGTTGCCAATCAACAATACAACAATAGAATTTCTCCATTTCAACATTTGATATGTTGTCTTTGTACTATTTTTTGTGAAATATAGGGATTTGCACATCATTGCATTTTGTTTTTATTTACATTTCGCACAGGGTTCCAGACATTTTTGGAAATAGGGTTGTATATCCAAAATGGTTGCTTTTCAGGAGAATATTTAACATAAATGATTTTAGACCATGTCTGTTGGTCAGTTCTCACACAATTTAAAAGGCAGTGTTTTTACATGATGTGAAAGAATGTATGTGGAAGTGGAATCCAGCAAATTCAGTTACTCAGTACATTTCAGTGTAGTTGGGCTATTATTTGACCTGAATTTCTATGGTGTAATGGTGGTTCTAGCTTGAAAGACCTTTAATACTTATCGGGTTTGCACTGATACATACGACTGCACTGATGATCCAAATCTGAATGTGGATTAGGGGTGGCTGATAAGACGTTATTCATGATCATCACAATATGTTATGTCACATTACATCTCAATATCTTTTGAGCATATTGTCAGTACTTAAAAACACTGAACAACTGCTTCTATCATTACAAAGAACAGAAATAGTCCTGTTTAATTAGATTTAGTGCAGTGCAGTATGTGAAACACTAAATAAAAAAAGCTGTTCATAGTTTTAAACATACTATTTAAACGTAGCACTGTTGCAACTTTCAACCCTCAGAAAAACTGAATATAGTGGTGGATACTGTGTTTCATGAAAATGTATTGTGATGTAAAATTTTTGCCATACTACTCTCTACTAATGTAGAACCGTTAACCGCTTAACATTCCAGGTTTATTTTTAAAGGCTTATCATTCGTTAACTACAGGGAATTCAAATCAAACTAATGGAGCTAATCTTAGGTTATAGAATTGTGTATAACTTTGGGCTTGCTGGCGAGCCCATAACTTGTTAAGAGGTTAAAGGAATACCTCTGTGTTTTTCAAAGCACAAAATACAAGAAAATGGGCAGTTGCTTAAGCTTATTTTGTTTATCGTCCATGATAATTGACAATATGGCCCAATGTTTTTTTTCACCCAGCTTTTTCCCCCATTAGCTTGGTCTCTTCCTATTACACAATGCTACCAGGCTGGGAGGGTGAAGGCTAACATGTGCTTCTTCCGAGACGCGTGCAGCTCCACTCCATCTTTTGAAAGACCCACATCTTTCAATTTGCTCGCAAAAAACATCAGATTCATCCACGTGGGGAAGGGGTCTGAAGCACAACGCATGTTACAAAATGTTCTTCTCCATGCAATTACACATTTCCACCAGAGAGGTCTCCAAATCCCCAAATACCCAAAATGTGCATAGAGTAGCTTGAACAATGTAGAGTAGTTTAGCTAGTTAGTTAGTTAGTAGCATATTTAATAGACTCTTTCTCTTTTGTTTATTCTCGCTCAACAGCTGATTATACTGGAGGATTATGCCGACCCTTATGACGCAGAGAAAACGAGGGAGCAGAGAGAAGCTGAAAGAGAAGGAGAGAATGATGGATACATGGAGCCTTATGATGCCCAACTCATTATCACAGGTAAAAAGAGACAGAGTCTTTCTCTCTTTTCATTCCTTCCTTCATCTCTTATTTCTCCTCTACAACAATGAGCAGAGAACAGCAGCGTTTTCAGGGTTTTTTAAAAAATCTCGGCACCCTCTCTCCCTGCTGGTTGCCACGGTGATAGTGTTGTGCTGGGACAATGGGTGCAGTTTCCTCTTTCTGCTTCCTGTTTCCTGTCTGTGTTTCCTTTGCCCCATTCTCTGGACAGGAAGTTGACCCCTGCCGTCCCCCCACAGAAGCGCCCGGCAGTGTGAGAAAGCCCTCCCCCCTCCTCCGCTACCCCCCCAATCACTTCCCAGAACTCAGGAAGCGCTCGGCTAAGCCGGCCAATCACGAGCCTGGGCCAACCTTCCCTTGGTACAGCCATTGTTTTCTCACACAATAGGCCAGACACAAAGTGACAGTGGAGTAACGCAGGCTGTGGACGTAGAAAGATCGAGCACCAAGCTTTGCCTCTTTCACCATTTGATTCCATAAACTTTATGTACAGTTTTAATTACAGTAGAATCCAGCACGTCCTAATCATATAAATTGTGATAATATTTTTATTGCACTATTTTTCATTAGTATGTTGCATTTTGCATTGATCTAACCATGCTCCGCCCACAAATGCATTCTTTCTTAGCAGCTGTGAGGCTGGACAAGCTATACAGAATGTTGGCAAAAGTCCCATTCAACCTTGAGAAACTGTAGTTTACTATTCTGAGATGGAGTGTTGTAGTTAATTGAAACAAGGCAGGTTGGAAATAACCACAACAAATTTGATTCTGTGCTAACAAGCAGTGGAACAAGCGCCTTTGTGCATTTTTTTTTTTTTAAAGAAAAATGGAATTTGCTTCTTTACTTGCTATTGTTATGTCTCATACAAGTTGATGGTCTCAAGGAATGCAGCTCCACCCACTGGCATCTAACTATAAAGACAAATTCTACAGATTTTTCAAAATGTCTGCATAATTCAATCTTTGAGATGTAAAGAGTCATTTAGAGTGGTCGATTGTGAAATGGTTCATTGTAGAGCAGCTTACCAGCTTGGATTCTCTTTACACTGGATAGGAACCAGGGGTTGCCATGTTTACCATATTTAATATCCAAGGGCATTATTGAACATACAGGTCTTCTGAGTTTTATATGGAATGCTGATGATAGTGAAATAGTGGTCTAAAAAAACATTTTCTTTAGGTGCTATTTTGCCTCAGCGCCTTGCATGTATCTCTCAACTATGATTGTATAAAAAAAAGACATTTTTTATACGTAGTGTTATAATACTTTTCTCTAGAACAGAGATTGTCTCATCAAACCACTCTAAATGACTTGTACTGAACTAATAACATACTCTAAGTTGTGAGATATAAGCAAGAGTTCCTCATTAGGTCAAAGGTGTTTTTTACAAACGTTCTTTAAAGCATGGCTGAGCTGACAACAGTAGCTATGAAAGAGCGGATTTGTGGGCAATAGGTTGATTGTGAAACCCACATATTTCATCCAGTGGAACAATCATATACACAAATTTAGATTTCTGTACTGTTTGGTACAGAGCTTAGTTAGCAGGCCAGACCTGCCACCCCACAGCACAAGCTTGATTGTAAGTAACTGATGCTAAAATGTCACCCGTTCAGAGAACAGTGCACCCTTTTAGAGGATAGCTGAGTAACTGGCGTTGGAATGAAAGCTGAAATCAATCGTGTTTATTGGTGTACGCGGAGAATATGCAGTTCTCATACGTATAGATCTTTAAAATGATGGTTCTTCAAGCGTCCTTTGGTAAAGAAAATAGTTCTATATAGAACCATGAGCACTCAAAGAACCCTTTGCTTGGTTAAAGGGTTCTTTGCATCATGAAATGATTCTTCAGATTTATGAAGAATGTGCTACATATGGTTCTATATAGAACCTTTTTGAAAAGGGTTCTATGTAACACTATAAAATGTTCTTCTGTTCTTATGATGTCAAGATTGTTACCATAGAAGAACCTGATTTGGTTCTATATAGAACCTTTTTCAAAAAGGTTCTGTACAGAACCTTCTACAGCACATTGTTCATAAATCTGAAGAACCATTTCATGATGCATAGAACCCTTAAAACATGCAAAGGGTTGGTGGCCCCTGCTGTAAACTGAACATTCACCAGGCTTTGTTACTGTCAGTGTTTAACAACAATTATGCAATTTTAGTTAGAATACGACTTTGCATTTCTTTAAAAAATGGCCGTTATGAATTACAGTGATTACATTACAGAGTAACATTATGAGGCCATATTATAATTGAACCTACCAAGTGTGATTAACACTGATTAGTATGTTGCTCTCTGCAGAGAAGCCAATCAGTTGTGAACACTGACATAACCTCCAGTGGGAATATTTGACACTCATCAGTGCATACGCGACACAGTGAGAACGTGCTCATTATTACACTTCACTAATGAGCAGGGCACACTAGTTGGATTGAGCATAGTGATAAATAAAATGCAGTTGGCTTTGTTTCATCTGACAACCAGACCAGTGCAGATTCTTAAAATTGTAATGAAAATATATATTTCTTTTTTTGTATATTTTCTGTATCAAGTATATCGTTAAATATGCTTTAAGTGTCCAGTTGTGCCTTAGATGTGTTGTGTCCCATAGGAAGTGAATATATTTAGATTCTAGAGAACTAATCAGGATTTATAGTTCCGTTACTGTGCAAAAGTCAGAGACATCCTCTCATTCATTTCATTTCCAGTCAAAATGGCTGATAAGTATAAGTTATTCATTTTTCAGTAGATATTTCTGAGGAGGTTAGATATGAAGCAATCCACTTGCGTAAGGAAGTGACAATCAAAGGAAAATAAGAGAAAAAAAGAGGAGTTTTCAAAACTGGAATTAAAAAAATGATCAAAAGCTACAGAGAAAATGGGACTCCTAACAATCACCTGCAAGACCTGGTAGACACCAAAACTGTCCTCATCAGATAAACAGCACTTAAAGCTTTCATCTTTGAGAGAGAGGAGAAAATCAAGCTGCTTCAGATCTGAAACAATCCACAGGTGTTTCAATCCATCCTTCCACTGTGAGTAGACAACTCTTTTGGTCTGAAAGGATGTGTAGCTGTTCCAAAGCCCTCACTGAGAAAAAGAAATACACTAAAAACATTTGTAAGTCAAACAAATAAGCTACTGGTTTTCTTAGAAGACTGGAGGACTGTCTGCCCCAGAGTCCAGACCTCAACCTCACTAAATATGTTTGGAAGTATTTGGATCATGAGAAGCAGAACATGCAACCGACTTTTAAGACTGAACTTTCAAGGTGTGGAAAAATATCTGTGCAGATTCCTTTGAAAAACTGAAAGCAAGTCCCCTAAAAGAATGGAAGAGTGTAGACAATAAATACTAACAAAACTTGATATTGTATTTAGCTATTGAGGCTGCAGTTTACAGCAATTTTCTGTTGAATATCTGTTTTCTGCTTTTTCATTTTTTTTCTGAAAAATAAATAGCATACTTAACTGTCTTTTTGACAGAAAATTAAATAAATAAAAAGAGTAGTATCTGACCTTTACACATTATTGTAGGTTTATATTTAATGGAAATATATGATGCGTCATAAACAATCAAGTCAATATTAGTCTATTTGGAGAGCCTGTTTTTTACAAATAATTTCAAACATATTTCTGAAGATTAGTGATAATTTTAATAAAAGCAATCTATACATCTCTGCCTCAAATTTAAAGGTAAACTTTCTTCCTAGCACTACTGTCTGTGAAGAATTCAGCTAAAAGTGACAAGATTGGAAATGTTACTTGCCTCATAGGTGAGGTTACATGTAACAGACTGAGGGACTTAAATACATAAGACAGAAAAGTCTGGGAAAATGGCTTCCCAACCTAAAAATAAAAATATATACAAATCAAAGTTGAACAGCAAATATGACAGTGATAAAACCGAAGTGTATCTTATTTAATCTACATCTATGGTAAATCATGAATCTGTGAAGATGATGAAATTCGCTCTTTTTTTAATTTGGGGGGCTTAGTTAACAAACCTGCTAATAAAGCTCTCACTGAGTTGTTAAATGTGTCAAGACGATGTTAGATTACAGTCATCAAGAGGGCAATTAAAGTAATGTAGGGGTAAAAAAAACACTTGAAAAAATCACTTTGTGTGGTACAAAACGATCCTTAGGGTGCATCTTGAAAAATATCTGTCCAATTGCTGTGAGAAGACATGTGACCAGGGAATGTTTTGCATTTGTCTTTGTGTAGAGATTCGTCGTCGAGGATCAAAGGACCTGCTGAAGGTGTGTGTTGTGTTGAACGGAGGAGAAGGGGAGGGGTCTGGACCCCCACAGATCTACGATGTCCCATACGAGGAGGTCCTGGAGGGGATTCCCTTGACCCGACCGGAGTCGGACCCCCGACCACCTGCTGAGTACGAACTGCCCTGGGAGTGGAAGAAGGAACAGATCGTCCGAGCACTGTCCGGTAATTACCATAACGCTCAGTTACAGTCATTTAGACAATTACGCAGTTTTTTATCACTCCTCCCAAATGCAGTTGATCAACCAAGATATGTTTTGTGTCGAAAGGTTGCTTTTCAATTTTGCACTTGAGCTAATTGATTAATACAGTAATAAGTAGTACATTACATGAGGCTAATGTAGCTATCAAGTAACTAGCAATGTATATGATAATAAGCATTAAATTAGAATTGTCCAAAATTCATGCCTAAATCGTCCCACAGTTGCCTCAAATCGTGTGATTTGTTAGGTAGCCTGAATGTTATCTGTGCTTTTTTCTTGTTTATACATAACAGTTTGTCATACAGTGTCAGAAAACACATAAGCAAGTCTACAAAGATTACTTAACTACTCGACACAGTTTGAGACAAATGTTTGATAAGTTATGTTTAAACATTGTTGCTGAAAACTGATGTCGGTTGCTGTGTTTTAAGCAAAAATTACGTGTCTTTTAAATAAACCAAACGCCATCTAAACACTATTTGAGTTAGATTGTACAACTCTGATTCCAACTAACAGCAGCGATTAGATTTGATGTGATTAGATGTTTCCAACATTGACATGATTGACCAGACCGTCTCCTATTACCTGACACATGAGTACCTGACACAACTCTCCAGTGATAAATTAGAGCATAAGTTAGATTTTTGGCTAAACCATAGACATGTCACAATCATTAAATTACAATTGTCATGAAAATAACTGGGATTAACGATTTAATCCCAGTACAAGCCTGAAGTGGATAAATCGGCTGATGAGCTGTCTTGCTTCCTAGCTCTTGATATAGTAGCTTGCAACTGAGGACAGGCCCAGTTCAAGCTCAAATAAACAAACATTACTCACTGCTGCCCTCTATTGTTATTAACATACATCAAATGAACAAATATTGGATGAGTTTTAATAAATACATCTTCCGCTTTCTTTTATTTACATGTATTTGACTCAACCTGACAGACGAAAATACGTCTTCATGTCTATACACTGTAGTGTGCTGGATATCTTGTTTATCTTGTTGGTAATAATGCTTTTGAGCCTGCTGATAATTGTGTAGATTATATTTCAGCTGTCAAATGTCATAATGTATGTAGATGTACAATACCAGTCAAAAGCAAGCAGTTTTAAACAGACAGCAATTGTCTCCTTATGAAGCTGCTTGAGAAAATGTTCAACACTGTAAAACTGCCTGAAGATAAAGAGGACCAAATTTAAAGAATCTAAAGTAGAAAATAGTTTTGATTTGTTAACATGTATTTAGTCATGTATGTATGTAAGTATGTAATCCCCTGTGTGTTATTTCATTCAAGTAATATGTGTTATTTCCAAACCCCTTCTGAGTAGCCGTGTCCAAACTTTTGACCGGTGCTGTATGTCTGGCTATTAAGAACGTGCTGTAGAATGATTAAGCTCAAAATTTCAACACATCTTCATCCTCGCAGCTCAGTTTGATGGAATGGAGCGTGCGTGTAAAGAGGATGGTGGCACCCCAGCTGTGAAGCAGCAGACCCTGCGCTCCGTCAAGAGCTGGACCCCCAAATCGTTGCGCCCGTCGCCCCCCTCCCCAACCTCACCCTCCTCCCCAAACACCAGCCCCGACACAGAGAGCCCCAAAGTGGACCCTACCCTGCCCCTGGAGAAACAGAGGTGAGATTCACTTAACCCTTGGAAGATGAGAGTCATTTCCTATACATTCAACTTATATGTACAGCACATATGTAACATGTTTAATTATACAGATACTTATGTATTATTAAGATTAAGAGACCCTTATTAGTCCCACAATGGGGAAATTTCACCTCCACAATTTAACCCTTCAGTGCAGGGAAACACCACATACACACTAGTGAAGACACACACTAGGGTGCAGTGAGCACACTTGCCCAGAGCGGTGGGCAGCCCTATCCACAGCGCCCAGGGAGCAGTTGGGGGTTAGGCACCTTGCTCAGGGGCACCTCAGTCATGTACTGTCGGCTCAGGGGGTCAACCGGTGACCTTCCGGTTTTTTACCAGGTTTTTTGTTTTCTCTGCCTGCTGATATCAGTTTACATCATACAACCGCATTTGTTCTGTTCAGCTTCAAAACACTGAGTAACTTTTGCTTAAGTTTCACAACACGTGAGACTGTAAGGAGGTATCTGTTATGTTTTTATATTGTTATACTTATTTGTTACATATGGTGAAAGTTATGTGCTTTATATTTGTCAGCTTATTTGAATTTCCGGTTCCACCTTAAATGGTGTTAGCAGTTACGTTCTGACGCTTGTACAGGTGCCAGAATGCGACTATTGCAGTATTTGAATAAGAAGCTGGCAAAGAAGAAGCTAAATTCACCTTCTTCACCGTTACCATAGTCACTTCTGGGTGAATGATTTAACTCTGTCACCCGAATTCTTACCACTGATTCAAAGTGAGAAAGCCCTCCTTCTTCCAATCTAACACCCTGTAAATTCGCATCCTCACCTTCCTGTGATGAAGTGTTCGCAATCCCCACCACCACCCCATCTCCTCCCTGTTCCTCAGTCCTGCATCAGTCCTGCTATAGCTATGAGGGTCCGGCCTTCTAGCTACAGGCAGAAGCTGCCCAGAACTCCAGCCAAAGATCTCAGAGCTCTCCCCGCTCCCTCAATCAATCTTCTCTTATACCACCACCACCATGTTGAAGGCATGGTCTGAATTACTTTGTCTATAATGGTTTTTTCAAATACCAAAAAATCTTTAATATGAACTCTTCCAGAAGTGCCCCAACAAAAACACCCTTTCTAACCCCTTCAGCCTAAGTCTGTGCATGCCGTTGGTGGGCACTTGGATCTGTCCATGAAATGATTTAATATTTGAAATGGTAAACTGTCTCCTGGAAAACCAAACCAAACGTTTTGCTTGTGTCACATTCAGAGTGTCCTTGTGTCCTTCAACTCGATGAAATGTACTGTTGGAGTAGTTGATGTACATGCATGTCCACGCTGGTCGTTGGAGTTTTCTGTGTGCTGCCATGCTGATCCCTGTTTAACACTGTTGATCACTGTGGATGCACTGTGATAGTTTCAGAGGGAGTTTGAACATCTGTTCAGAATCAGTAAGCACTTGTAATTGTTTAATCGTAGTAATGATAAAATGAGACTGCAGTATGAAGTATATTCCAATTTTTTGTATATTCCTGTGTTTTTTCTTGCTACTTTTTTCTTGGTACTTTGTGGCACAAACAAAGGGAAAATCTGCAAATTCGCCTTTTTGATGAGTGTGAAGAAGAACTTTGTGAGCTTTCATTGTTGGTTAATCTGAGCCTGAAAAAGAAACACCAGAAATTTGCAGTTTGCATCTTCTATTTTGATGCAGATAGCAATTTAGCAGTGATTTAGCTAGAGAGAGTGTATTTTGAGAATGACAAACCTGTGGACTCTTTTTATGTAGTAAACAGAGATAACCCAGTACCACTTTTCCTTTTCTGACACTGATACCTATATTGGAACCTTGAGTATTGGCCAATGCTAATCCAATATATTTTTTAGATCTATTAAGATTTAAAATGGGCTACTATTTAATGAAACACTAAAAATGAGCATCTATAACTGAAACTACTCAAACATTCTACTGCCCCACAGTAAGAACTACACAGCTAACAACATAACATCACACATAACGAGTGAGTGCTATTTCAGGATAGACTTGTTACAGGACTGAATAACATTCATGTTTTTCTCTCCAATACCCAATAATACTGATTTGCCATCTCTGATACTAATTTCTAATAGGGCTGGGATGAGTTACATACACTGCCAAACTAAAATTAATCTTCAGTGCTGCTTTATGAAGGACCATCCCTTTTTTAGTAACAATTTAGTAACAATTTGCATGTTTTGTCGTTTGTGAATTGTGTTAATTTCGAAAGCTGAGGCTACAGATGGCTTGTTGTGGTCGCAGGAACTTTCCTTTCTGCGTCTGTTGTTTTGCTGTATTTTGCGTCTTAAGGTTCTGAGGGGCTGTCGTGTTTTCAAGTGGTATCAAACCTATAGTGGAGAACCTTTTGGTCACTGTACCTCGTCCTGATACTCAGCCTAAACGGAGATTGCAAATCACTTCTAATGTTCTGATGTCAAATGTTCCTCATAGAAATTATGAAATAGTTCCAAGTGGCTGACATTTTCACTGTCAATCTGACCAGCGCAGGAGAGGAAGGAAACAAAGCGTTTCTGAACAGTGTGTCTTGTTTTCATTACCTTTAAAATTATTTGTAGATTTTGACTCTTGTAGACCTGTTTATGGTGGCCGATAAGCCCCTATGCACAATACAGTTAAAAAGCTTTGCAAACGTGATGCAAATTCAGAAAACACTTTCGTCAAATGACTAGACCAACTACATTTCAAGCGTGCTGCGAATACAGAAACCATGTGCGACTTCAGAAATCCTGTAAAGACAGTCACAACATAACAGAAGGGGTCACAACGCAGTGGAAATGTTCCTGAAAGACTCTGAAAGGGGCTGGAATGTCTGTGATGGAAAATCACTGACAACAAATTTTGAAAATCAGCGCATATGTTGTCATCTTATTCAAAGTGTTTCTGCTTTTGCAGCTCGTTTTTGTGCTTGCAGTTTGTTGGGTCTTCCAAGCCATATCTGCTAACAAAATGCTAGATGGACTTTTCATATTTCATATTCATATTCTTCAATTAAACCTCAAAAAAGTTTTTGGATTGTTGTGTTGGAAATTTCTAGTCAACTTTGGCTCCTTGATCTCCTCCTCATCCTCTTATCTAACTCTCCTTTTCCATCTTTCACATTTCCTTCCCAATGTAAGGTCCACACATGTTCATTTGAGGTTTAGTTATATTGCATAATCTCTCTCACTCTCTCTCTCTCTCTCTCTCTCTCTCTCTCTCTCTCTCTCTCTTTCTCTCTAGCTGGTATCATGGCAGTGTGAGTCGTCAGGAGGCTGAGGCTCAGCTGCAGAACTGCAGGGAAGCTAGCTTCCTGGTGCGTGACAGCGAATCAGCTACCAGCAAATACTCCATCGCCCTGAAGTAAGGCTGTGTGCATTCATACGTGTCCATGAAAGCATGTGTGTATTAGATATTATAGAAGCCATATCACAGGCGAAAAAACATTTATTTAAGCAAAAGAGTTTGATTTACTATGTACACATAGATAAAGTTTTATGGGAGAGATATGAAACTAAGCTGCAGAAGCAATTCATCCTGGTTATGATGTCACAACCATGAACACATGTACACACAGTTGTATGCAAAAGTTTGAACGCCCGCAGTCAAGTGATGTTTTGTTGATTTTCTAAGTGAAAATAAGTGAACACATCTTTTAAATGCATAGTTACTGTTTATTTAAGTTTAACATATTGGGAAAAAATGAAACATACATTATAAAATGTGTCGTAACATTTGCACAGGCCACATTTAATGTTTTGTTTTTTCCCAATATGTTAAATTCAGCTGATTTAACAGTAACAACAGTATTTGTGCATTTAAATGTGCAGTAGTGAGTTCTCAGTGGACGGCAGGCTATTATAGAAGGATGATAAATAGCTAACGCTACTGCTAGGAAGCTGAATATCATGTCTGTATTTATTAATTTCTACATCTGTAGATTTCTTTGTTTTTTGGTCCTGGAGGGGGCGGTATTCCCAGTAGTTCCCAGCCAATCAGCTCTGTTGTATTTGCATATATCGGTCTTTAAGGCACAGTAACAAAAACGTATATGTTTTTGTACGCCTGTATAATTCTGAGCGATAAAGAGAGGTTAGAAAGTGGTCATATAAAAGCACATTTTGACAGATTTTGGAACATAAACCTACACACACACGTCATAAGTGGACCTCAAGGCAAACAGTAATAAAAAGCAAGAAAAATTTAAGATATCAGCCCTTAAATAAGAGAGGTGTAACTAAGCATCCTTGAAAACACAGATGTAGATGATACTGAATTTCTCTCTCTCTCTCTATCCAGGACAAGCCAGGGTTGCGTGCACATCATCGTAGCACAGACCAAAGAGTGTGGCTACACGCTGGACCAGAGCAGCTGTGTGTTCCCCAGCATCCCGGAGGTGGTACACCATTACTGCACCCAGCGCCTGCCCTTCACTGGAGCCGAGCACATGACCCTACAGCACCCCGTACCCCGCACACACTGATCACACACTCATACCCACAGCATCAGCCCTTCAGTGAAGCCGAGCACACGGTCTACCGCACACATGCACTGAAAACATCCAAACACAGCACCTACCTTCACTTACATATATGCACATACATTCTTTCCACTGGATGGAACAAATGACTGCCTGCCAAAAGTTTGAGGACACCTTTCTCTCTTGTTCAAATCGTACCTTGTAATGGCATTAGGGTTCTTTTTTGTTATATTTCCACTCATTTTTCATTAAAGTAAGACCAAGTGATCATACAAGCAAAAGGGGCCTTGGGTAGTGTTCATCACAGTATCTTCCTTGGTATGAAGAGCAGGTTTTGTTCCAGACCATTGTTAAAGTAAATCCTGGAAAGGTTTAAGTGCTGAACATGAGTGCAGACAGTTCTATTCTGTTTAAATTCCCCCTTCTCCACCTCCCAGTTTCATTCACCAAATGTGAAAAGGGCCAAAGAGACCATCACATATCACCTATGCTTTGGGCTTATCCTATGCATTTCACAAATGGCCCCCAAAAATTGTATCAAACCCTTTAATAAGTGTGTAGCCTTTTATACCAGCCCTGTGAGTCTATTTTTTCAGCAGCATTCTTTTAATTCTCTTGCAGAAATGCTTCAACTTGCACTACTTCCAGGATTTGTAAAAGTGATATTTGAAACTAATCATATGCAGACAATTGAAATGTGGAATCAGAAATGCTAACATATACTATATATCCAAACGTTTGGCGATTGGGCGCCCACTGAAATTTAGGGTTTATCTTTTTATTTACTTACGTTAAGGTGGGGCTTTTGTCAATTGTTCCTTCACTTTTTCCAACAAGAAATGTTGCAGATATCTACATAATATGTTAAGTTATTGAGAACAAATAGAAAAGAAAACATGCTCATATTAAATGCTGGGAAAAAAAAGAGTCCCCAAACTTTTGGCGGGCAGTGTGCTTATACTTTCTACTCAGCCTAAAACTCCCAGTGTACATTAGCGTGTTTGTGTGTTGTTTGTGAACAAGCCGGTCCCTCTTTTCATTCTCATGCCCCTTATAAACCAAGGCCATTAGACAAAATATTAACCTCTTGCAGTCCAAAAGGGTGATAAGTATATTTCACAAGTGCTAGTGTAGTTTTTATAGCGTGTAATTTGTTTTTTGAATATGTTTCTTTCACTCCCTTCTCATCTTCACCTCCTGGTGACTTCTGATATCATGTGAATGTGCCTGGGTGAGCTGGCTAGCAATCACTTTCAACCTGAAAATGCCATGATGGGAGGGGATGAGTTGCTCTTAGGCCCCCCCTGCTGGCTGCAGAGGCGCAATGCGTCAAGGATGAAACTACTCTCTTCTGAGATGCCTGTGCAGACACAAAGACCCAGCAGTTCTAGACCTGCAGTTTCAAGACATGCTGTTGTTTTAGAATTGTGCCCACTTATGTAATATGTTGACTCCGTGGCATTCCTTTAATACATCCCTTTTTATGTTATGTTGTATTCCGTATCGCAGTACTGTACCCTCAGCATCACCGGTTTAACATAATTCATGATTTTTGTATTTTGTTAATCAGTTTGTACTGATATACCCAATAAATACCCAGTAGTCATTATGCAAAAATACACCATACAACCACTGGGAATCCCTGTGGTGTCACCCAATCGTGACTGTTAGCCCCAGATCTATAGACTAATAACTGCAGCCAAGCTAACATTTGTGTAATTTTTACCTGAGTTGTCAAACAAAATTGTAAAGAAAACAGCGACTCTGTCTTTATTCAGCACAAAACAGACACCAGATACAAGCTCTTCACCCTTTCACCCAAAAAAAAGCCAAACTTGCTAACCTCAGCTTTTAGCTTGTTCTCCTCCTCACCTAATGACTCATTTCTGTCCACTGTACTCCATTCTCTCCCTTGTAATGATGATTTGGAGACAGTTGTTACGGCTATACGCCTGCAATAAGTAATGTTAGCTAGCCTTAGCTAACATTCTGCATTCACCAACTAAAAAAATAAAAAATTGAAACAGTCCGCCCCCAAAAATCAATCCCTGAGCAGTTGTAGTTTTTCAAAAGTTCCTTCCATCTTGAAGATACATCATCGCAAGAGGGTTTTCTTAATCTTTTAACCCTAAAATCTCACTGTAGAGACTACTGCGGCACAGCTGTAGGATGGGCATGTTTACAACAGAAACAGTAGAGATGGTTGCAATTTTCATTTCACCAGAGTGTCCTTTTAATAGCATGTGGTCAGTTGGAAGGAGCATAAAGAAAAAAAAAAACAATTAGCTGTTATACTTGTCTCCGATTTTGGTTATAAGTTATGAGTAAAAGTTCTATATTACTTAAGCACCTTTCATAATAAGTTATGAGACACATTTTTGTTATACAAATTTAACATAGGTTGCTAGCTACCGTAACATAATTGTACCTGCTGGTTTGCATTTGGATTACATTTCGTCAGTCTAACTCTGGTTATGCTTGTTGGCATAAGCCTAAAAGTTAGAGGGCCTCTAACCTTAAACCACTGCCTTGAAGCTGCATGATGAAATGTCAGGTTTAGAATTGCTGCACTCTGGGTCTGCTGATGTATCATGATGGTGGTCTCTTCCCTCAGGTTAAGACTTTATTGCCACCTAAAGAGGTCCTAGAGAGCTTACATCTGTCCTCGCTCAATATGGCTGTCATTTAGATGATGTGACTCTGAGTAAGCACCCTCTCAGTTTGGTAGCATCATGTGATAGGGGGAGACTTAGCTAGCAGGTGGATTTAGCCATGACTAAACAAGATAAATACCCTAAAATAACGAGAGCTTACAACTGATTTGGCTACGTAACAATTTTTCCCTTGAGTTTACAAGTTAGCCTAAACAATTTATAGGCAAATCAAGCCATTCTGTGGACTGACATGCCTTTTTTGTTGTCCTTGATAAAGATTTCCATTGATTGGTTAATTTGGTGGTGGGTTGGGGGGTGTAAAATGGATTTTATTGGGCACGCACTCATGCATAGTTAAGTGGTAGAGTACCTGTGACTCTGGCCAGTAGCCTAATCCAGATGAGTGCCCTTTGCTTTGAGCAAAATTGCATTTTATACAATATTCTCTGTTTATATTTGTAAGCAGTGATTTTGATTTTTTTTCCTGAAAATTAAAAAGGGTAGTGTTCTCTGCTCATGGAGATATTTTTGCCTCTGTACAATATAAGACCATGCAAAGCCTGAAAATAAAGCAATTTTGATTGTACATGGGTTTGATTATTGGGTGAGATTATTATTTATTGTCGCTGTCTGAACAGAACCTCTGAAAAAATCTTCATTTTTTATTTGTTTTTTATTAAATATAAAATAATTAGCATATTTTCCTGATGAAAAAAATGGGATTCTTGATTATATCATTCCCTCAAATACAAAACAGTATGATAACTGCATAAATCAGCATTTTTTTAAAAAATATGTCACCTCTGAAGTGTGACGTTGGGATTGCAAACACATGCATTTGTGAACTCCTGCTGGTGTGGGACTCTAGTCTTTAAATCCCACGATTTAAAGACTACAAAAGCGAGCTACTAGCTCTCCCATGTGTGGGTCAGTGAGTTTCAAGGCGATGTTCACATGCTTTACATGAATAACACGCACTTGGCAGAGTCACTCTGGAACTGGAGATGCCATTGGGAAACCATGGAGTATTATTTTTCATAATTTCAGAGCTGAACATTGGGATACTTCAACTGCATGTTAAGCACTGGGAGTTTTTCTCGGCCGGCATGTCGCATGCTTGGAAACCCCCAGTGGAGACAGACCTCAACATCACTGAAAGTTTGGGATTACTCGGATAGTAAAAAGCAGAAAATGCAACCAACTTCTAAGACTGAACTTTGAAGATGTGGAAAAATATCCTGCAGAGTTCTTTAAAAAAATGAAGACAAATCTCCTGAAAAGAATGGAAGCTGTAATAAAGATAGAGTGGAACCACTAAATACTGAAAAAATATTATTTACAGTTGTATGCAAAAGTTTGAGCACCCCTGATCAAATGACACATTTTGTTCATTTGCCAAATTATAGTAAGTTCACAGAGAGCTTCTGTACATTTAAATGCACAATTATGGTTTATTTGCTGAATTTATCATATTTGGAAAAAAATAAAATTGTGGCCTGTGCAAAAGTTATGGCACATTCTATATTTTATATTTATTTTTCTCCAGTATGTCAAACTCAGCAAATAAGTAGAAACTGTGCACTAAATTTATAGAAAAAATGACGTTTGTTCCTGGTAGTGTGTACTGATTTATTTTCACTATAAAAATCAACAAAACATATATGTATGTTTTCTGCTTTTTCCCCCAGATGATGAGAAATGCATAAACTTTACTTAGAAATGAAATTAATGAAAGGTGGTCTCTGACTTTTGCACAGCACTGCATATGTAAAGGCCTAATTCACAGCAGATAAATATAAAAAAACACGTGACTGTATGACATGGCCTGTGAATCTGAATGCAAAAGCGCCTCTGTTTGTTTCGTATCCACAAAAGGCTCCCAAGCTGTTGACCTGGGTGTGAAATCAATTAAACCGAGGCAGGCCTGCGCAGACTGATGTTCCCAGATGTTCAGAATACAGCGGATGAAAGCCTCGTTGAAAGCCAGTGGTAAGACAAAGAAACAAAGGCAAATGTGTCTGTGAGGTTGCGTGCCGAACACGGAGGCATAAACTGTAATGCATCAGCAGGTTACTGCGCATGCGTTAACGTTTTTTTCCGTCCTTTCTGCTAGATAAGGGATTACCAGGTTGCTATGGTGATTAGCACAAGTGAGGTAGCGATATTTCCACAGTGAAGGAGGGAGGGAGGGAGAGAGAGGCAAACGAAACGTCTGAAGAGCTGCTAATGCGCTTACATATATGATCCCTTCCAACAGGCGATGCGTGAATGACGCTTTAGGCAGTGGCCTACAATTACTTCCCTGCTCCTGACCTCAAGCGTTAAGAAGCACTTTCCAAATATGAGAGAAAAGATGACACAACTTGCAGCATCAGCTATCATTTGCTCTCTCTCTCTGTCCCCCGTTTCTCTCAGGCTCCATATTTATAGAGCTAACTGGGTCAAACTGAGCTAGCAGCTGAGGGGACTGACATGGACAAATGTTTGATTGCCTCTTCATCCTTTCTTAACGACTTACCATCTCTCCATCGCAGAGGGAAGTCTCTCCATCCCTTTCCCATCTTTTGTGACAAGAAAGATATCAGTGACTAACTCATGCTAGTGAGAATAAGTGAAAAAACAGTTTTCAAACTGTTCTAAAATGATCTAAAATGATTAAAAGATACAGAGAAAATTGGACTCCTAACAAACACCTGGAAGAGCTGGTAGACACCAAAAATGTCCACATCAAATAAACAGCACTTTCATCTTTGAGAGAGAGGAGAAAACCAAGCTGCTTCAGATCTGAAAAAATCCACAGCCGTCCTTCCACTGTGAGAAAAGAGTCTAAAAGGATGTGTAGCTGTCAAGAAGCCTGAGGAATGAACAAATCAAGCAAAGAAGCTGTTGGTGTTTTCAGTACAATGGACTGACCACCCCAGAGTCCTCGACATCTTAGAATGTGTTAAGGATAAAAATCCTTAACACATTCTAAGATGTCGAGGACTCTGGGGTGGTCAGTCCATTGTACTGAAAACACCAACAGCTTCTTTGCTTGATTTGCTTGAAAGTGTAAAACCAACTTCTAAGACTGAACTTAGGAGGTGTGGAAAAATATCCCTGCAGGACACACGGAATACAGAAAAAAATGATATTATTGTGGAAATTAATGACTTGTATGGCCATTTTGACTGGAAATGAAATAAATGAAGGGTGATATCTGATTTCGCTCACTACTGTAAATATCAGCTGAAAGTAATAACAATAATTTTGACAGCGCTTCAATGATCAGGTTGAATTTGTGGGCAGAGCATGAATGGGTTCAGTCAGTCACGCTGAAGCCGAAGCTACAGTTACAGAAATAGTGCAGTATACAGTGTGTGCCATTTTGTAGCACTGTTTGATTCTTAACGCTAAATCTTTCCGTCATTCCAGGCTGTTCTCCAGTCAGTTCACTACATTTGTTAATAGTGAATGAGTGAACGAATGAGCCGCTCCAAACACGGCACGGCTGTCAATCCCAGCTGTCAAAGCTGAAAGTGAGTCAGTGTGTCGGCATCAGTCAGAGGAAAGACGAAAGGCAAATGGCCATAGTGAACGGAGCCAGAACGGAGGAGAGGAGAGAGGGAGGGGTTGGAGGAAGAGAAGGAGAGGGGAAGGAGGAGGAGGGGGTGGGAGACGAGCACTCGGGGGGGTCCCACACTCTAAATAATTCAGCGAACGACTCCGAGCACTCTGCAGTGTGCCGAAGTTCCGCTGTCAACTCGGCTCATATAGCGCAGTGGGAGAGAGTGAGAGAGGAAAAAAGACAGAAAAAGAGCATGAGAGAAGATAGAGACAGGAAGCAGGAAAGGGGAGGGAAGAAAAAGACAGAGAAAGAAAGAAAGGGAGTGAGAGAGAAAGAAGACAGCAAGCAAGAGGGCAAGAAAGATAGGAAAGCAAAACAGAAAGAAGGTGTGAGAAAGCAAAACGAAGGACAGAAAGAAAGAGGCTAAGAAACTCAATTGAGAGAGAAAGAAAGGGTTAGAGAGAAAAAGGGAGGGAGAGAGATGAGAAAGATGTAAATGAAGAAAGGGAGAAAAGAAGGATAGGATGAGAGAAAGAAAAAGGGTGACAGAGAAGGAGAGGATGACAGGAAAAGAAGGAGGGTGAGAGAGAAGATGGAGCAAAAGAGAACAAGAAAGATGAGAGAGAAAGGATGAGAGAAAACAGCAAGAAAGGAGTAGAGAAAAACAGAAAGAAAGAAGGGATGAGAGAGCAAGAGAAAGAAAGTGGCTAAGAAAGTCAACTGACAGAAAATCAGGGTGAAAGAAAAAGGTGGGAGGGAGAGATGAGGAAGAGAGTAAGAAAGAAGGAGAGAGAAAGGATGACAGGGAGAAAGGGTGAGATAAGACAAGCAGCAAGAGAACAAGAAAGAAAGAAAAACAATAGAGAGAGAAAGAAAGAGGATGAGAGAAGACAGACGGAGGAAGAAGGGATGAGAGAAAAAAGGTGAAGGAAAGACGGCACAGAAAAAGAAGAAAGGGTGAGAGAAAAAACGAGACAATGTAAGAAAGGATAAGAGAGACGGAAAGAGGGAGAGAGGATGAGAAAAAGAAGGAGGGTGTGAGAGGATTTGAGATATAGTTATATTTAATTACTATTGTTTTAATACTTATTCATAATTATTTTTATTCTAATTTAATGTTTATACAGGCTTCATCATTATCTACACACTTAAAAAGATGGTTCTTCAAGGGTTCTTTAGTGAAGAAAATGGTTCTATATAGGACCATGAACACTCAAAGAACAGGGTTTGTAACAATAGACGAATCCTTTTTGGTGCTATATAGAACCCCTTTTCAAAAAGGTTCTACATAGAACCATCTACAGCACATCCTCTGTCAATCTGAGGAACCACCCTTTCATGGTGTCAAGAACCCTTATCATGCAGAGGGATCTTTGAGTGTTCATGGTTCTAAACAGAACCATTTTGTTTACTAAAGAACCCTGAAGAACCTGATTTTCTAATAGTGTATGTCGCAACGTTTGACACTACAAATGTGAATTTATCATGTCAACGAGTCAGATACTAAACGGCACTGAAATCTGTGTGTAAGTGAGAGAGAGACAGAGAGGGAGAGAGAGAGAGACAGAGAGGGAGAGAGAGAGTGAGAGAGAGAGGGAGAGAGAGAGAGAGAGAAATTCATCTCATTCTGTAGTCAGCTAGTCATTACCAAGAGATGGAGGAATAATTTCCTTTTATAACCTTCTCTCTCTCCATCTACATCTCCATATAATAAAGAGCATGACTGAGTGTATAATGGGGAGCGAGAGAGGGGGGTTAAGCAGGGAGAATGGAGGGGGGGGAGACATAAAAAGAGAGGGAAGGCGGAAATGAAAGAGCGAATGAAAAGACAGCATGCTGACATATGGGTTTGAGGAAGAAGAGACAGGCAGCCTTTTTTTATTATCGCCGTCCATCAGGGAAACAATCTTCACTAAATCCTGCAGGATCTTTCCTAAAGCCCGCTTTACATGTCGCTTGTCACATCTCAGCCTTTCACCACGTTATTACCTCTTCTTCTGTCCACATCCATCTTCGTCTTCCTCTTTTCCCCTTCCTCC